ACAAACTATCTTCTAAGATAAGGTCACCATATGAAATTTCGGACCTCATACAATACCGCTCACATTTTTTGAAAAAAAGACGCGAATGTATGGACATGTCCATACATGTGTGGACATGTCCATACATCAGCGTCGCGTGGCCATATCTCGCTTCAGAGTGGACGAATTCTGAATCCAAAGCCACCATTCGATTCAGCTCGGCGCGGAGAATCTTCCGATATACTGGAGGTAGGGGTACGATGTCTTCGATACTCCGTTTCCAGTTTTTTCAATTTGTTCTGCGGAGGTCCTTTCGCGAATATGTGAAGCAATGCCTACCCAACATAGAAGACTTTACTAAGTACTGTTCGATAACATTGTTCTTGTAGATTATTGTGCGCTAAAAAATAGGCTCAGAATTCTTTTCAAAGTAGATAGAAGCGTTGGTGAACTTTGGAAAAATCACGCGTCTCTAAATTCTACTGGCCATAACTTCCTTCGGAATAAGTATATTTTGAATCCGAAAACAGCGCCTTGCTCAGCTCATCAAGGCGAATCTTCTTATGTACAGCATGTCCTTGATATTTCGATTTCAGTATTCTTGAATCTTTCTGAGGACGTCTTTTCGCGAAGGTGTAAAGCAGCGAGCATTGACCCGAGTACATTCCAGCAAGGATTTTTCGATAGCACTTTTTCTGTAGATTATGATGTGCTAAATAGTAGCCGCAGGTTTCTTTTCAAAGGAAATAGAACGGCTGGTAAATTGTGGAAAAATCTTGTTGTCCCAAATTCTACTCGCCATATCCGCAGGATACGAAGCTATCTTGCTAAGCAGATGTGAGTTTCGAAATCAGCAGGTCGCATAAGCTCTACGAGCAAGTTTTCCGATATGTTCGGGTTATTCCATTTTTTCTCGTTTTACGCTCCGGAAGCTCGCCGATGGATTTTGGTCAAAAAGTTGATGCTCTTGAATTGTAAGGAAACTTCGCTTATAGAGGTCTTAGAGCACGCTCTTTACGAAAATCGTGGTCTTTGAGGATTACAGGGTCTTTTTGGAGAGATACGGTGAGGTGACTGTAACTGCATCACGAAAGCCCGTAACTTTGGCCGCACTTCTCGCGTATCTGTCAGGAACCTTGCCTGCTTGCTTTTCTCAGTCAAAGTTACTAGGAATTGTACGGAATTGTAATCGCATATTTCGTCGAAATTTCTCCGTGAGCGCTCGTACAATGCGCTGATCAAATCCTTCCACATTTTTAATGGATCTTATTGTGTTAGATTTGGTGCTTTGAGCTCTAGCCACGAAATAGCTTTGATATTCAATTGAGCAGCTGAAGCAGACGCAAGCACCATCTATCCTACTATAATAACGCGCTAAGGCCGTCTGTTTTTTTGTGTGTGTCTGTCTTTAAATCTGTCTGTCACGAAATTCATAGAGGAAGCTGCAACTAAGCTATCGGGCTGCAATTTTGCACAACATACCGTGCCAGCGTGTAGGCTCACCTGCACAAGGACGAACCGGTTCGATAAGCGGCTCCCTCAAAGTTTGCGCGTCAAACGGGTCCACGCGCCTTTTGGCACGCAAAACTGGGTCGCTAATTCGACTTTTCGCAAAGTTATGATTTGCCTGACAAGTAACTTTGCGCGCCATGAATTGCCCAAAAAGTGCTCAAAAAGTTTGCTTTTCTGCGAAAACAGCGCCAAAAATTGATGAGCGCGTAGATAGTCGCTTTGCCAAGGTTTTACTTGAAAAAAAAAAAGAAAAGATTTTTGCACCGAAATGTAGCCCTAGGTGACTACTATCCTTATGACGATCATCAAACTAGAATAAATCCAGTAATCCTTTCAAATTCGCATTTGTTTCCTTGCAACAAATTTCTTTTTTCTAAAAATTACCGATCTTACATGGAGATGCTTCATGAATGAACAGTTGTTTACGATTAATTTGTGATGCTCAGCATCGCGTGGTGAGCTTCAAAGTCATTCTCATGCGAACATGAGTAAGGCATACAGATAGGGAGCCAGTGCGAACCTCCGCGAAGCGGAGGTGACGCACTGGTATATATATAAAACTCAAAGTTTGTGCAACTCTTGAGCGTATGTTTTTTATAGACTCCTTCGCGCGTGAACCGATTGACCTGGAATTTTGCATATATATGTTTTCGACCCCGTAGATGGTTTTAGGCTACTTTTTGAAGCGATTCGCTGGATCCTTCTATTGATTTATTGATTTCGCCTCTTAGCAATGAAAGTGAAGTCTTATCAACTACTATCATACCCAATGCACATTTTGGTGTAAACAATGGCAGACAAGCTCATTCTCATTTTGCGGTCAGATGCGGTATTTCCAGATGCTGCTGCTTTGAGGTAGGCATTTGCAATTACAACGCACCGTGCAGGTGGATATAGGCTGCGGGACCGGAGAAGGAAAGGGAGGAAGCAGAAATGCACCAGATGGAAGGGGATGAACAGGGCTCGGCACAGCTGGCACTGGGTTAAGCTGGATATCGTTTTTTGGACGAAAGTAAAGGAGATATCGTTTTTTCGGGGTCCGGAGCGGAGAGAGCCGCAAGAATGCCGCCGGCATGCCACCGGCATGCTTTCCATCAAACAAACAAAGGGGTGTTTTAGCCAAAATGCATATGACACCAAATTTGATGTGTGCATGTGCGTTGGGAGACCCGAAGTATGGCCCAAAAATTTATGAAAACTATGTGAATAAAAGCTGTGCTGAACTTTGTTCTGAATTAGCTGGCACCGTGCCAGCTGGGTGCCAGCTGAGCTGGCACCGACACTTTGCTCACATAAGTTTCATAATTTTTACATGAAATGTATCTACACCGTGAAAGTTTACATACAGAAAAGAAACAGTTCCATAATGTTATCTTTTCAGCGATTTATAGCCTTTGAAAACTACTCGGTCTGCTCCGCAATGGAAAAGTCGGCTTTTTCTGCTTCTCGAGATGTGATTCAACCACTTGAAAAGCTCAAAAAGCTGTGAAAAGTTATTTCATGTAATTAGCATGCATAAAAACCCTACTACGTACTTTTACATAATTTAAAATCAATGACGGGTCTTCAAAATAGGTCAAGGGGGACTTCGTACGAGTTCAAGATCAAACGGGACTGGACTTCGTTTTGAAATTTCCCTGGTGCCAGCTCGTGCCGAGCCCTGGGATGAAAGATGGAAAGGCTTAGATTTTGAAGCAGAATACATATTTTATGCGCTCCCCCTCCTTCCTCTGGCTCCGTGGCTCATGAACCGGGCAAGACCGGGTATGTCAGCTAGTATACAATATAGTGGGAGTGGTTGGACGAAGCGAACATAATATCTGCAGCGAGCGTCATAGAAGCACTCACGGAGAAATTTCGGCGAAATATGCGAACTTTGCATTTTGGGCAAATTTCACGATGACATGTTTTCGTAAGCTCGTAACTCGGCGAATTTCACAGACTGGAGCCTGAGTAATGCATTTTTCGACAGTACAATTCCTAGTAACTTTGACTGAGAAAAGCAAGCAGGCAAGGTTCCTGACAGATACGCGAGAAGTGCGGCCAAAGTTACGGGCTTTCGTGATGCAGTTACAGTCACCTCACCGTATCTCTCCAAAAAGACCCTGTAATCCTCAAAGACCACGATTTTCGTAAAGAGCGTGCTCTAAGACCTCTATAAGCGAAGTTTCCTTACAATTCAAGAGCATCAACTTTTTGACCAAAATCCATCGGCGAGCTTCCGGAGCGTAAAACGAGAAAAAATGGAATAACCCGAACATATCGGAAAACTTGCTCGTAGAGCTTATGCGACCTGCTGATTTCGAAACTCACATCTGCTTAGCAAGATAGCTTCGTATCCTGCGGATATGGCGAGTAGAATTTGGGACAACAAGATTTTTCCACAATTTACCAGCCGTTCTATTTCCTTTGAAAAGAAACCTGCGGCTACTATTTAGCACATCATAATCTACAGAAAAAGTGCTATCGAAAAATCCTTGCTGGAATGTACTCGGGTCAATGCTCGCTGCTTTACACCTTCGCGAAAAGACGTCCTCAGAAAGATTCAAGAATACTGAAATCGAAATATCAAGGACATGCTGTACATAAGAAGATTCGCCTTGATGAGCTGAGCAAGGCGCTGTTTTCGGATTCAAAATATACTTATTCCGAAGGAAGTTATGGCCAGTAGAATTTAGAGACGCGTGATTTTTCCAAAGTTCACCAACGCTTCTATCTACTTTGAAAAGAATTCTGAGCCTATTTTTTAGCGCACAATAATCTACAAGAACAATGTTATCGAACAGTACTTAGTAAAGTCTTCTATGTTGGGTAGGCATTGCTTCACATATTCGCGAAAGGACCTCCGCAGAACAAATTGAAAAAACTGGAAACGGAGTATCGAAGACATCGTACCCCTACCTCCAGTATATCGGAAGATTCTCCGCGCCGAGCTGAATCGAATGGTGGCTTTGGATTCAGAATTCGTCCACTCTGAAGCGAGATATGGCCACGCGACGCTGATGTATGGACATTTCCACACATGTACGGACATGTCCATACATGTATGGACATGTACGGACATGTACGGACATGTCCATACATGTATGGACATGTCCGTACATGTCCATACATGTCCATACATTCGCGTCTTTTTTTCAAAAAATGTGAGCGGTATTGTAGATATATCGCTACTAAATATCTTGTCTTTCAAATATGAGAAATATGAAGTGGGGTAAGATCGGAATTTCATGTCATGCAGTCAAGTGCTTACGCATACAGTCAATGCTAAGGATCCATTGAAAAAGTGGTTTGATCTTGTCCAGCACAACTTGTAGAAGTTTACTTAAGCGGGTTGCTATTCGATTCGCTGGAAAAAAGTTGAATCAGGACTCGAATACATTGGAACAATTTTACGGAAGCATACCGAAGAAACTGATGTACCACTGCCCGGTCCACTTCAGCTCATTAACGATTCGCCTTTATATTTAAGCGAGGAGAGTGCGCTGCTCATTATTCGAATGGCAACAATGGGGATAGCTGTTACGAGTTATTTAATGCTGCTAGAGGTACTTATGGGTCAGGTGAGTCTAATAAAATTAATAAACTTTTAGTAAACTGAAATTTCAAGCAGAGTCAATTTATTCTTGCTTCTTCTCGTCAAAGAAGCTATAATTTTAGCATTTTAATCTGAAGTAGTGCTATCCTAACAGTCTTAGAAAAACTTGGTTCATGGAGGCAAACAGACCTTTTCTCAAAATATAGATCACAGCACTTCTTTGCAAACAATGCAATCGCACTTTCCGGATGAGTGATCATAGAGTTTAGATTGGGCTTTTCTCTTTTTTTTTTCGCTTTTTTGAGGTAATGAGATGCCATTGTGTTTGATTACGACTACTGATACATTCTATGTCCTCTTGTAAAAGGCAAACCATATGAACTTACTGAAGATTGTGCGGTAGCACACAGCAGCAAAGAAACGTTCTTGATATGTTTACTCTTTAACTTCAGCTTAAGCACTTGAGTTGAAAAATTCATCTGAAGTGATGAGCCACAGCAACTGAGCGATTTTTCAATTTTTTTTTCAGGGTTTCTTCGCTTGTCCTTGTGCTCAACTTCTGCCAAGTCCGTGCACCTGTCAGGCTGGTTTCATGCCATTTTGCACATGTACAAGGACCATTCTAAAGTACTCATGCCCTTGCTCTACTCCACCTCCACCATGCCGCGCTGCATGTCAACGCACATGCACGTCCATGTGTGCTCGGAACGGTCTCGGCCCTAGGTGCCCTTCTTATTGCGGTTTCAGCTGTCTACAGTCTTGTATGCACCAGCAGGCAGTGCCGATACAAATCGTGATGAATAGATTGGTCGCCCCATTGGGCCAATGCATTCCTTTCTGCCGGAAAAATTGCGAAAGATCCTGCATACCGATGGTATCGACTGCGACTTGTATACCGCTTTGCAAGCAGCCATGTGAACAGAAATGTTCACAGTTCACTCCTACGGGAGTGAAAAATTTTGAGAAAGTTGAACAGTCTATTCATGGTTTGATAGCTCCATCAGCGCTTCTGACCCAGTCAGCGTTGTTGCCTACCATATCTCAAAAAGAGCCGAACGGTAGCTCCACATCAACTTCCTCACCAACAATCACAACCTTCTCTTCACAGAGTACCCCACGTGAGCCAACGCTGATTCCGAGCTCGGCATTTGAAACCACATCTCAGCCGCAAACAGCAGAAGAAGGAGGCGCATATGTGGACATTCCTATTGAAGATTCTGGATTAACTTCACCTACGGACCGCATGACGCTTTTTGAGGAACCCCAGCAGTTCAATGATTCGACGACACCAGAGTCAGAAGTTTCACAGCTTCAGAGGGCTGCTCGCATTCGATTTTCGTCCACCCCAACCCCAAGCACACGCTTCACATTCACTATCGCTTCCCATGCACCTTTTACTCGATTTACATTTACGCCGAAATCGAGAACCATTGAAGAAACCACATCAAAACCTGACGAGAAAATGTCTGAGGTGCCTGCTTCAAAGCAAATTCTCGAGAAAAAATCACCTGAGCAAAAACGGCTTCCACAAATGCCACCTTTTGACTTTTCTAACTTCACATTCACTACCGCTTCCCACGCACCTTTTACTCGATTTACATTTACGACAAAATCGAGAAGCAATGAAGAAACCACATTAGAACCTGAAGAAAAAATGTCTGAGGTGTCTGCTTCAAAGCAAGTTCTCGAGAAAAAATCACCTGAGCAAAAACGGTCTCCACAAATGCTACCTTTTGACTTTTCTAACTTCACATTCATTACCGCTTCCCACGCACCTTTTACTCGATTTACATTTACGACAAAATCGAGAAGCAATGAAGAAACTACACCAAAACCTGATGAAAAAAATTCTGAGGTCCCTGCTTCAAGTCATATCCTCGAGGAAAATTCGTCTGAGCAAAAACGGCTTTTACAAAGGCTATCTTTTGATTTTTCTAATTTTAATTTTACATCAATGAAACGATGCATAGCTGCTTGTATGCCAGAGTGCGATCCGAAATGTATTGAGGAACAAGGAAAACTGGAACAGAAGCCAGCTCACGCATCTAGAGACGCTAAAAGTAGTGATCGGCAAATGGATTACAAATTCGGGTTTCAGCGAACTTCCCCGTCCGATAAGGAGATCGATGTGAGCAGGTAGGAGTCACATTATAACAAACTTATTTACACAACATCCTTCTCTTTGAGATTACTTGCTACCTCCACTAAGCCCACGCCTGTAGAAGCGCAATAGAACCGTTGTTGTGGCGAGTTTCAGAAAGACAGGAAACTGAAGATATCTGCCTCAGCAAATTATCTGTACAAAGCAGTAATAAATATCAGACTGACAATGCTGCAAGCAGAAGTGCCTTAGATTTGAGATAAAAGAAAAGATGTTGTACAAGAATGTTTGACTCATTATTGATTAAAAATAATTCAGAACGAGCGAACTGGCTGACAAAAAGTCTGTTGTCGTATGATTTGATAGCTCGATTTATTCTTGTTAAAAGAGGAACACTGGGAACCTTTCTATTTTACGCATATAACTTTGATGGCAAGTGTGGTATGAGCGAAGTCACCACAAAAAAAAGTTCATAAAGTCATGACGAAGTGACGAAAATGTAAGGAAATAGTTATGAAAATGATTATAAAAATTGAGTAACAATTATAATAATTATATTAGGTCGTTCCGAAAGTAATGTCGCTTTTTTCAACGTAAGCCACATCTCATGGAACAAAGACATGTAATAGGTTCTTGTAGCATTTGATGCAGCATTTCATTCTCTTTCTAATGGTTATACAAACACTGCACAAAATTCAATAACTTCTCGAAAAAATACCAAAAGCTGCGACCCATGCTTTTTAAAAAACCCAAATTTCACAATTTTTCTTAATTTTTATAGCAATCCTCGGAAGGAGTCCAAGTAATGGATGTTTAGTGGTTCAGCTTCTTGCCACACCAACCAAAAACCATAAGACCAAACCAATTTATTGCCACGAGGATGGAACCTCAAACTTGGGTAATTAAACCGTGATCTTTACTTTGCAAATAAACACATTATGCGTTGATTCAATCATAATCTGATGTCCAGGCGATTTACCTAGGCGCTACAAAGGCAGAGTTAAATGACCAAAACGCGTATAAAGCTTGCGGGCTCATGAGTGAATAAAGTGGGAAGAGAAGACGATTCCCATCGGGGCGACGAAGATTCCTTGCCGTGTGATGTTGCATTTTATAGTTGTTGATAGTCGCCGGAGCTCCCTGTAAAGATCAGCTTACAAGATAAGAAGATACATGGGTTACTGTAATAAGCAAGAGATCGCGCTTCCAAGCAGCGATACTCCGCCCCACCTTGATGATGTTACGCGAGCCTTTTCAATTCTTCTTGGAGGCGCGCCAATTTGGTTTGCGTTGTATGGAGTGCGTCCCGGGCACGTTGAAGTCTTGAGCGTATTATCAGACTTTTGTCTGGGAGGTCACAGACGGCCGAATTGTGGCCATATCGCTTGCAATGGAAGCAAGGCGTTGGCCATTTGTAACAGTCTCTTCCTCCCGGGCAGACGATCTTCAGTACTTGGAAGCAGATGTGGCACCTTCTCTGGGCATCAAGCATGCTGATTCGTGTGGTGCTGTTTTGTACCTCTGGGCAGGAATCCGAATAATGTTGCATGGCGACTTTACAGAAGGCACATCTTATAAATCGTTCACTGTCTCGTCTAATTCCGCCCTGCAGGATTTTCCTTGGCGCACACGTTGGCTTTTGTTCCAGCTCTTCTATCAACATCTCGAGGTCACCAATCGCCTGTTGTGCCTGGAGGACTTCTACTTGCAGCTCTTGCTTTCTTCTTTCATTTTCGGCTCTTTGGTCATCCTCGACAATCTCGTCCACGATCTGAAACGAACTTCCTCCATCGCTTTCGGGATCATCGAAGACCAGTAAGTCTTGGTCGTTGCTCCTTTCTCCCATGTTGGTGTTCATATCACGCTCGATCGTTCCCTGCTTCGCCGTTTCTTCTTTTTTCTGTGACTCCAACGCGTCCAAACGTAGTTGCATTTCCTCTCTGCTCATGTCAGAGTCCCAAGTGCTCTCTGATGATGTGCGTGGGTGTTTGTTCCCTTGACCGCTGCACGAACGACTGCGTACTCTTTTCGAAGCGCGCTGTTGCGCGAATTGCTCGCACTTTGGGTCGGCTTGTTGTTGTTGTTGTTCCAGTGAGTCATGATACGCCTGCATGCTCTCCGAAATGGTTGGCTCGCGTTCGGTGATGTCTGGGTTGTTTCTTTCTTCACGAGGTTGTTCTTCGACTTCCGCCTCGTTTGTTTCGCCGTGTTGCACGGTCTCGCCCGGGCCACCGAATCTCTCGCATGCTTCTTCAAGGGTCTCCATTGCATTAATCAGTTGTCTCAGGGCTTGTGATACTTGGTCCATTCCTCTTTTGAAATTGTCCTTTTCGGTTTCGGTGTCCATTTCTAAAAAAAACAAAATATCTATAGGTCTCTACAAGAAAAAAATTCTACGTCTCTCTTATTTTTTTTTCACAATTCTTTCGCGTGCATGGGTAATATTTGCATGTGCCTGTTCTTCTGGCAGTGACGTAGTGTAGTGCGGACCAAAATGATTGTGATGCGAAATGGTAGGCATAAGATTGTGATGAGTACCCGCAAAATTAGGCGCACGAGGCATAAGCCTACAGTTTGAAAGAGCGCGTAAGAAATGACGAGTGCTAATGCGACAGCTATGAGTGCGATGACCACAGTTTTGTACCATGTCAAATATACGTCCAAAAGATGCGAGAAATCTGGCCATTCTATTTCTCCGTATGTTGTGCTATTGCTTTCTAGAGCTCTTAGGAGATGTAACTGAATGTCTCCTACATATTTCAGAATGCCTGATAGGATGAAATAGTTCTTTGTTTTTCCGCATGAAACTGAACAGTTGATCAGCTGTCGCGCTGTGCTCAAATGGAAGTGTAAAGTGGAGGCCGGTATCTCCGGAGAACATGGTACCACAAAGGCTGTATTTTCACAGATAACTTCGCCTAGGGTCTGTTTTTGAGAGGTGCACTTGATTTTTGCGACTGCTCCTAAAGCGCAATTGTAACATCCCGTTAATTCGGCATTTTGTATAGCACAAACGTCATCTTGGACTTGTAGGATGGCGGTATCAATTTTTCCCTCTATGCTGAGTATCACCTCAGCGGAAACCATGTGCGGTATTTTCGCCATTACGATACCTTTGAAGCTATTTATTTGCCATAAGGCTGTGTTTATAGGCAATTTACGTTGGATTTGATGGAATTCTTGTTCAATGTCTTTTTGAGGGCATTGGCATACTATTTTGTTTTCTGCCGGTGTGCAAATGCAGTTGTCTGACAAGGTGCATTTAAACAGACTCGCTGCTCTGCTGGAATTACACATGAGATCTGGTATAAACGTGGTCCTCCACAAGGCTGTATCCTTGCCATTAGTGATAAAGTGATCATGCAGTAATGGTGTAGGAGGAAGCGAGATGGAGGTTAGTGTTACGCGCAAATTTGGGAGATCGAATGGGATGTTTGGATTAGTTGAGATTACGAAGCGTTGTTTTCCCAAGTGCAAAGTTTCTCTATAGATGTTTAGTTTGATATCTTCTCTCCATCGTTCGCATCTAAAAATCTCATAAACGTCTGAGTTTTTGGGTGTGGCATAGATTCGATAAAAAAGACAACCGGAGCTTGGGTAGAAACAATCACAACCTAGTCCTCCACAGGATTCTAGGCAACCTGTGCGACCCGGAAATTGATTTCCCTGCTGTAGCTCCGGAATGATGCTGTTCGCATTGATTGCAGCGCATTTTTGACCTGTACATGATCCCATGTGGGGGCAACGCTTGCTGTCTACGACTTGTAGGTTAGTTGCTCTAGTGAAAAATAATGTTTCTTTGTCGCAGTACAGTCTGAGCCCTCTCCAACGTACTTTGATGTTTTCTATGTGGGAGCCGTTTTTGGTTAAGCGTAAGCACGCTTCTTGTTTAAAAGTGCTTAGTTTGAGAACTTCTTTGATTGCAATAGAACATGATTCTTTTTCTTTAGCTTTCTCGCAAATAGTCAAGTGGTGTTCCAGGACGTCTATCTGTTGACATGCTGAGATAGTGCCACTCATAGACACCAGTGATACTACTATTGCTAAAGCCTCGGTTAAGCGCGTTGATCTTGATCGATGACGTGTTTTTTGACAGCGACGCCGTATAGCGCGGACACATTGCCATCCCTTGTTTAGCAATAGTTTGATTGTTAGTAGGAGTAACCAAACCAAGACTCTTATGGGTTTTCCGATGGTCACTGGTACATACAGTGCGAGATAAACCGCTGCAATTATCCCATAGAGTATCAGTGCGAGAGAAATGATGGCTCCTATCGGCCAACATTCTGGGTTTAGTATCACTGTTGCGCAGAACCAGCAGTCTATGTTATCGCAAAAACTTAGTTTGTCACACAGTTTTTCTGCTGTTCTTGTTCGACCATTTTCATTCCATTTCAAGGTAACAAGATGATCGTGCAAGGTAACACTTGGAGAGAACACCATCAAAGTTTTCCCTGGTTGTAAGTTTTGGAGCTTACATTGGTTATCAGCGCAGACTTCAGTTGTCCTAGTTTTTGACGTTTCTATCACAATGCCGTTTTTCGTGCAGGACAACATGATATCGTCCATTTTTGAGGTCCAGGTACCTACGATGCAGTGAAATAACATCATATGAAATAAGAACCATTTCGTATTGATTTTCGATGGTTTTTTCTGAATATTTTCTGTGATCGTGCAATCCACGTAGTTTGTCTGTTTACGTGGTCGCAAGTTATAAGAGTGAGTAGTGCATTCTTGGTTTATAGGTGGATCTTCTACTATTTCCTCATTTTCTTTTTGGTAGTGATCTTCGCTGATTTCCAAGGGGATAATGAGGTTAACAGGTCGACGAATTTTTCTGTTTTTATTTGTCATCAGCTCAGCTTCTCGTGGTTCTCCATTTACAAATTTGTCAAGTTTCGTAATTCTTGCGACTTTCCAATCATTTCTTGGTAAAACTGGATCATTTATCAGGACTACATCGTCAATTTTTGGAGTGTTGTTGCAATGGCGTTTCTCCGCTATGTTTTTCTTGTGGTTTTCTCTTAGGCTGATAAGGTATTGATCTTTCCAAATTTTCCAGAACTGTTCTGTGATTGCGCATGAAGATTGCAAAGCTTTTTCTGCTTGGAGGCGAGTTTCTATAGCTTGCATTTCTTCGCGAGGATAATAGGTGGGATCGTCTGAGAGTTCTTCTCGTGAGTATGGAAAGGTCAAGATCATGTTGCGTTGCACGAAATCGATTGGACGTATGATGTTAAGTGAGTCTCGGTCTGATCCCTGATATGTGAGTGGGCGCGAATTGAGGCATGCCTCGATTTCCGTCATTACAGTAGTTAGATGGTCAAACGAGGAAATAGCTGATGGTCTTATGGCTTT